TCTATAGATCAGCATCATGGCACCAACCAGAAGACAATCAAGGACTCTGGAACCCGCTACACAAGACCCCCTGGCTCAAACCCTACAACAACTAACCCAAGTCGCCCAAGCACTAAGCGACGTAGCTCTCCGCAACAACCGACCACCACCACCTCCACCAAACACAAACTCAGAAGTCGCCCGACAAGTTTCAAACCATAGACCACCCACTTTCTCTGGAGAAGAAGATCCCGCCATCCTTGAGGAATGGATTCGGACCTTCGACAAAATTCTGGGGTTAGTAGAATGCCCAAAAGAACGTCGTGTAGAGGTAGCCTCATTCTACTTCGGACACGAGGCAGACCTTTGGTCGATCCACGAGGGACCCACTTACAGACAAGAACCAGGATTCAACTGGGAAAGCCTGAAAACACGACTGCGAGAACGATTCTACCCAGCCCACATAAGAGCATCTATGCACGAAGAGTTTCTTCACCTAAAACAAGGAGCGGCTACCGTCATGGAATACCATAAACAATTCCGCGAACTGGCACGCTTCGCGCCAGAACTAGTCCCCACAGAGACAACCAAAATAGAGAGGTTTGTATCAGGCCTCAACTTCGAAGCCCGAAAAGCTCTAGTAATAAGCGGACCCCGGACTCTCAACGAGGCCTACTCCAGTGCCGCCAATCTCTATCGAATCCAACTACTACAGCATGGGGTTCAGGAACAGATTCGAAAAAGGAACACAGGAGGTGGGGCGCCACCTATGAAAAGAACAAGAAACGACGCTAACGCAAGGCCGAGCAATCCAGCGGGACAGAGGCCACCCCTAGGAAACAACGAAGCTAATGCATGGGGCTTCCCTTGCCCAAAATGCAACAAAAACCATAGAGGCAAGGACTGCATGGGGAACCCCTTATGATGCTTCAACTGTGGGAAGGAAGGGCACAAGTCCTTCCACTGCACTTTACCCTCGAGCTCACGCCCTATAGCCATGGGCCAACGCGGTGGCACAAACAATCAAGGAAATTACGGTGCCCCCGGAAAGGTGTTCGTCATGAGTCGCACGCAAGCTGAACTTGAGGACGAGGGCAACCATAACGAAGAAAACATGGTCCCGAGAGACGAAGATTGTGCAAATCCACCAGAAGAAAACCAAGAAGACGAGTTCTGTTTAGGATAGCTGACAAACCCCTTGTAACCGCCCCCGTAGTAGAATTACTTGTTTAGATTAATTACTTTGGAATTATTATAAATAAAGAGTTAAGTCAAAATAATCTTCGCATAAAAGAAAGGAACTAGACTACCCACATCAGCAACGAGGGGAACCAACCAAATCTCCTACCACTAGAAGACAAAAGAAGGAAAAAAGACAAGGATTACACAACAAGGAAGACTAATGTCATCAAGGGGAATTGATAATCATTTATAAGTCCAAGCTCCTAACCACTAAGCCATAAGTGTTTCTTAAAACCTCAAGGGAACACTCCCTTTTTAAACCCCTACAAATCCCTAAAAACCCCCAAAACCCCCAAATCAAAAACCCTTCTTCTTCTTCTTCTTCTTCTTCTTCTTCCACAATCACTCTCTCTCTCTTCCTCCCCACACCACACCACCGTCAGCCACCCGAAGCACCTCACCCCACCGAAAGTCGCTATCAACAGCCGCCGCCCGCCACCCGGTCAGTGCCACCACCCCGTACACCCGCCGTCGACGCCCCAGAGACTGCCGACACCTCGCCCGGCCACGACCCGCTGCCACGCAGCACCCGCAGCTCGACCGCCCTCGCCCCACTGCCGTACGCCACCGCAAGACACCCCCAAACGCTGCTTAGGCCAGCCGCCCCTCCCTCACCATCCAAATCCCAACAGATCGCCGCCTCATCACCGGAAAATCCCGCCGGAGATTCGCCGGAAACTCGACGGAAAAACGCCACCAAAATTAAAAAAAAAATGCCGAAAAAGCACCTCGGAATCCGCACCCTGGAATGGAGCAACGCCGACTACACCGTGATCGGAGGTAAAGCCCTCGAACCCGACCAATTCTCTCCGGAGTTGGTCGACATGCTTAACTACCAAGGGCTCTTGGATACATATCTCACCATTAAAGGGGATACATACCCGGAATTGGTGAAAGAGTTCTATCATCATTTGGTGGCCGTCAAACGAGGTGATAAACTGGAAATCACCGCTAAGGTCCGAGGCAAGGAAATCATACTTTCTGAAGGCCGCTTGGCCAAACTCTTGAAACTGACCACCACGGGTGTGTCAGACTATGACCGAAAGGGGTGGATTGGTACCCAAAACACGGGGTACAAGGACTACATCGGGTACCTACTCGGAAAAGAAGAAGGTTTCACCTCGGCCACTCGGCCAAACAGGAAATGGCTAACCGCGGAACAAAAGATACTAGTCATGATTGTAACTGATAGCTTGTTGCCTACAAAAAATAAGAGCAAGGATGTGGGAAGTTTGGAGTGCACTTTTGCTTACCTCCTAAAGCACAAAATCAAGTTCAATCTACCGGCCCTTATGTTGAAACACATGGAGTTTTGCAAGACTAGCAACCGGCTTAGCATACCTTACGGGATGATCCTAAGTTGGATCATGGAGAAAAAGGGAGTAGACCTGAGCCACACAAAGGTCAAGACCACAAGCGGCATGGTTTTCAATGCCCAGAATCTTCGTCGCAATGATATCTACTACATCGAAGGGGGACAATACATCACCCTCGAGGAGGTTTGCCTTAAACCTGAAGAGGAACGGATGGAGTTGGTTGATCAACTAGATATCTCCAACAAAAAGTTTAAACGGGCAATGCAAGAATGTGGGGAAATAGGGGGAAATGAGGAACAAGAGGAAGATAGCGAGCCTGACCCACCGGCTCCCACACAGGCAAGGGGAACCCGAGGGGCCAAAACGAAGAAACCACCAACGAAGGCATCCTCGCACAGCTCACCCGACAAAACCAAATCATCGACGAAGGATTCCCGTCCCTAATCCGCGCAACACGTGCCCTGGACCAATGGGTGGCAACTATCGAGGCCATGTTGGGCACTCGCGGGGCATCCAGCTCAGGAGCAGAAAACCAAGGTAGACCCGAACCTTCCAAACCACCACCTCACCAGAAATCTAGCCTACCCCAGCCAAGGTAACTCGTGGAGCCACATTTCCTAATCAGGAGGCCAAAATACGTGACGTCTAGGGGTGAAAGAATGGATCCACACACCGGCTTCGGGGATGAAGCCTCTTGTAAGGGGGAGAGAGTGTAACACCCCGTGTTACGATCCCTAAACAAAATTAATTAATTAATCACCCACCCTAAAAAGGAAATTAAAACCCACTAATTAGCAAAAAGGGGTCCACCATAGTCCGTAGGCCTTTATCCCCAAAGCCAATCCCTTAGTCCTATAAGGAATAGAATTAGCAAACCCATACCACTTAGACCCTAATTAGGACACTTAATTATATAAATAGGGACATAGGAGGCTCCTAGAACTCACATCACAATAACTTTCACCACACAAGAATTCCCAAGAATCCCCGTAGGAGAAATCAAGAAAGAAGAAATCTTAAAGAAAGGCCCTTCATAGCCGAGGAAATTAATTAAGGCTAAGAGGTAACCCATGTCTCAACAAAACCTATTTTCTTCGCTATAATATCCTTCCTGGACCTCCTTCTATATGCTTGTGTCTTGATAAATTCCTCTATGTTATTTGTGATATATTCTTGATGACTGATAAGATGATTTATGTGTATTCTTGATAATCTTGATGATCTTGATGTTGAAAAGAGGTTCATGATATTGATGTGATGATTCTTGACAAATCTTGATATTTCTTGATGTTAAATATAAATTGTGATTTTGATGATTTGGGAGGCATTAGAGCCCTAGGGTGGATTGGGAATTTGTGTTGTAATGTTCTTGATATATATTTGGGTGGGAATTCGCATGTTTGGGTGTTGTTTATGTTTAGAAGTCGTAATAGGATGAGTTATCTGTGATTCTTGGTTTTGATCCATTAATTGCCTACATGGTGTCGTTAATTGCGTTTAAAAGTGTCTAAGCATGGTTTCGGGTTCCAAAAAGGATCCCGGGACGTAATTGTAATGAAAGAGTCAGTGGGGGGTAGGTGGGGGTAGGGGTACCCGCCACCTACCTGCTGCCCGAAAATCACCGCCAGGCAGCGGCCAGGCGTCGGGCAGGCGTTCGCCCGCTGCTAACCCGCTGTCGGGCGATGATCTCCGGCGGGCAGCCGGCGGGTGACCCCCACCCACCGGCTACCCGCTGGTCCGTACCCACCCCTGGTCTTTGGCTTCCCCGTTTGATGTTCCCCATTCCCCCGTGGTGTCCCAACATACCCCGTTTGTCGTACTTGAGTCTAGTTTGATGTTTTGGGTACCGTTCGTAGGATAAAAGAGTCTTAGGGATTGCATGCTAGTTGAATCGGTAACCCATTGACCTAGGTGGAAGTCGTATGAAACCATTAGGACTATTCTTAGTATGTGAATGATCACACGTAAGCTTATTTATGTGTCTTCCCCTTCCCAATGTGCTACTATGTGCTATTGTGTGTTATGTGATACATGATTCCCCAATTTTTTCGATCAAATTGGCCATAGGGGCAGTTGGATGGGTTGAGGACCATCCCAACTGTTAACCAGGCCGGTTGCGATTGGTCAGGTATATAAATATTATATAGTGCTGCGGTCCACTGTTTGTTACTTATGAGCTGCGGTTCATCCTCCTGGCTGCGGTCAGTGATTCACTTCTTGGGCTGCGGTCCACATGGGTCTCGGAGATGATGACCAACCGAACTGGACGCGCCAGGCGGTGTGTAGGGCCAATAAACCCGCGGTAGGCTGTAGTCCACCGACCTGTGTAATCAGGCGGTGTGTAGAGCTACGGCTGGCTGCGATCCACCGAGTGATGGGCCAGCGGTGTGTAGGGTCATAGTCTCTGAGGAACTTCGCCCACCGACTGAGTATCTCAGCGGTGTGTAGGGCTTGATCCGCTATGGTCCACCGACTGTGCCCGTCAACGGTGTGTAGGGTCGTATATCCCCCTAAGTAAAGGGGATCACAGTCCACCGACTAGGCGCGTCAGCGGTGTGTAGGATTGTGGTCCGACGTTGAGTTCGTCAGCGGTCTTTAAAGGGTTGGTTGCGATCAACTCCTTTCATGCTGCGATATGTGGTAGGGTGCTGCGGGGCCGTGTTAATGCTATATGCGCTAACCCTCATGTTCGGGGCATGCGATTGGTCCCGTGGGGCCAGCTTAGTGTGATTGAGTGTCACAAATGATGATTGGATGATGATATGATTGATTTGGAAATAGACTGTGGTCTTAGTTGCGTATTCTTTATGATGATTCTACTTAACTTTTATCATTGATTGTTGTGCTTACCCCTATTTGCTGAATCCATTCCTGGTTTTAAAACTAGAGTCTCTTAAGTATATATATCTTCCTGCTTCAAAATGATTTTCATATATCTATATATATCTATCTATAATGTATTTCAGCGCGTTGGAGTGGGTTACCGGCATCATTCGTTGAACATATATATTTGGCTTTCAGGCACAGAAGATTAGCTCCCAGAGCGCGCTAGAAGAACTTGGAGTAGATAGATAGTTTTCCTTTCGGCCTGCGTGCCATGATGATGTATTGAGGATATTTAGTTAGTTTAGCCTATGCATCTGAGTTTTCCAGCTCAGATGTGGCATAGCACCCCGCACTCGTATATTTAGAACTACTCTGTTTTGGGATTTAATGAGAATTGACCTTTGTTATATATGTTTTAAAAGTTTAAAAATTTCGGGGTGTTACAGGTTGCCCCCAGATTATCACACCACAGGGTAGGCGGCTGATCGGAGTGCAGTCCGAGGTCACGCATGAGTGAGACAATCCACGTTTGCTCAGCGGAAACATCTGTCAGGGCCTTGTACTCAGCTTCAGTAGGGCCACCGTCTGTTACTTCTTGGATAGCCACGAAACCAGATTGCTACCTAGAAAGACGGCATATCCGCTAGTGCTCTTTCTGTCTACCAGGCATCCTGCCCAGTTGGAGTCGGACAAGGCATGAATAGCGGTAGTGGAGGAGGCACTCAAGCTCAAGCAGTAGTCGAGCGTGCCCTTTATATAGCGCAGCACCTGTTTAACCAACCCCCAGTGATCAGTAGTTGGAGAGTGCATGAACTGGCATAAGCGGTTGGCAACATAGGAGAGGTCTGGCCGTGTGATCGTCACATACTGCAGGGCCCCAACAATGCGACGGTATTGTGTCGGATTCTCATAGGGTTTCTCGGTCGGAGTGACTGGCTGCGTGATGGCCGCGGGTGTGCTGAGTGGCTTGCAATCCACCATGCCAGACCGATTTAGTAAGTCCGTCATATAGCACTGTTGTGAGAGTATGTAGCCATCGTCTGTCGGAATGGTCTCAATGCCCAAGAAGAATCCCGGTTTGCCAAGGTCGCGAATTTTGAACGTGGATGATAGGCGGTTGAGCAAATTTGTAATCAAAACGGCGTCGTTTCCCAGCATAATAATATCGTCGACATAGACAAGCAAAAACACTCGCGAAGACCCTGCGGTATAATGAAATAGGGAGGCCTCCGTCTTAGATGGTGTAAAACCTGCAAGGAGAAGAAATTCATGAAGCCTCTTAAACCAGGCCCGTGGTGCTTGTTTGAGACCATAGAGAGAGCGTTGCAAATGGAAGACGTGATCAGGATGGGTTGGATCTTCGTATCCCGGTGCTTGTTTCATATAGACTGTCTCTGCCAGATAGCCATTTAGAAACGCATTGTGCACGTCTAACTAGCGTAGAGTCCAACTGTGAGAGACTACAAGAGAAAAAAGCAACCGTACCATAGTCGGTTTTACAACCAGACTGAAGGTATCAAAGAAATCCTCGCCCACTACCTGGCTGAAGCCCTTGGCAATCAGGCGGGCTTTATAGCGTTCAATTGAACCATCAGCGGTCCGCTTGGTGCGAAACACCCATTTGCACCCAATGATATTCATGTGCGACTCTGGTAGAACAAGCCACCAAGTGCTGTTGTAAATGAGTGCATTGAACTCCTGGTCCATAGCCTTCACGCCATTGCAGGTGTCCTACAGCCTAGGAGTAACAAGATGGATCAGTGACTGCAGTTAGGGCATGAAATTGCTCGTTTGTGCCTCGAGTCATGTGACGGAGGCACATGACGTGACCTCGGTCTTGTGGTTGACCACGAGTAGTCACACGGTGAGCCGTAACAGGTGTGGGTCTTTCGATAGCTAGAGGGGCGGGGTGGGCTCGGACCCGGTGTTGACTGGGCCTTGACGTGGCGAAGTATCCGCCAGGGTGGGCCGTGGTATGATGGGCCCGGAAGCCCATGGCATGGGCGGGGGCGTCGTGGTGGTTTCCGTCTGGCTTGTGGAAAACGGAAAAACTGTCTCATCGAACCGGACATGACTACAGATGTAGGTTTTCCCACTTGTCAGATCCATGCATCTGTATCCCCTAAAGGACGGAAGGTAACCTAGGAAGACACATGGGGCCGAGCGGTACTCTATCTTGTCCCGATTGTATGGCCGAAAATAGGGATAACACCGGCACCCAAAGACACGTAGAAAGGTGTATGGCGGGGGGTGTTTGTATAGACGGGAGTAAGGACTCTCAAAATTTAGTACCGGAGTTAGTAGGTAATTAATTAGGCACGTAGCGGTTTCAAAGGCGTAGTCCCAATATGGTAGGGGTACTGAGCCTTCGGCAAGCAGAGCGAGGCCGATTTCAACAATATGTCTGTTCCGACATTCAACCCTGCCATTTTGCTCGTGTGTATAAGCACATGACTGACGGTTGTTAATACCCAGTGTTTGGAATATGGTACATAATTTTCGGTACTCACCCCCTAAATCCGACTGAATGGACTTGATAGAACGCGAAAATTGGCGCTCTACCATTACACGAAATGACTCGAATATTTTATATATGTCTGATTTCACCCGTAATGGGTAAAACCAGCAGAAACGCGAGTAGTCATATACAAATAACAAAAAATAACGGTAGCCATTGGCCGACATTACAGGTGCAGGACCCCAGATATCAGTAAATATCAAATCTAGAACATTATTGCTAGAATTTTCTATACTATCTAATTTAAAATGTGACGACTTGCCAAGGTGACAAGTCGTGCATGACATTCTGGTTTTGGCTTTATTTGGTAGAATAGGACAACTCTGAAGAACATGACGTTGGACAGCACTGTGCGGGTGACCTAGCCTGTGGTGCCACACAGCTAGCGTGGTACGGGAACTGACATACGCAACGAGACTTCGGGTGACCGGAAGCTTGTACAAACCCCCGAATGTTGGCCCCTTAAGAAGAATTGCCCTGGTTTTGGAATCCTTCACAATAAAACAATTGTTATGAAACTCGAAATAAACACCATTTTCGTTAGTGAATTTATTTACAGATAACAGGGGTACGGATAAATTTGGGACATGTACGACATTGGACAAAGACAATGATTTTGACACAGATGGGATTGACGCATGACCGACTCGTGAAATAGCCAAACCTGCGCCATTACCGACTCACAGCACATCGGGGCCAGTGTACTCATCGGAGTGAGTAAGCATTCCGGCGTTGAGGGTCGCATGCGTCGTTGCTCCGGTGTCCGGATACCAGCGGTCTACCTGAGCTACCGAATCCGCCGCTAGACTGTCGCTGGAAATGGCCACATGAGCCTAAGCCGGAGGTTGGGTTGTATAGCGTTTGTAGCAGTAGACCTTCGTGTGTCCTTGCGACCGGCATATTTGACATCTCGGTGCCCCACGGCGGTAGCGCCCGCCGCCACGACTCTGCCCGGAACGGTCGCCACAACCTCCACGCCACTGATTCGAACCGCAACCTCGACCACCTTTGCCGTTCGACGTACTCCCGTCGTTCGACGTCCGGCCTGCATACATGGCGGTATGAACACCACCACTTCCACCGTCAGCCATCGCGGGGTAATCATCCGACACGATAAACTCCTAAGCTTGGAGAAAATCTGCCAACTGGGGTAAGGAGATGGGTTGACCAATGACCGTGAGCGTGGCGGCGATGAATCTTTGCTCCGGGCGGAGGACCAGGAACACATATAAGTTCTGCTCCGCCATGGAAAGCGGGCGGCCGACCTGTGCTAAAGCCTCCACAAGGAGCTCCGCCCGTCCTAGGTATTCGGTGGTCGACGCATTGCACTGACGAAGGGACTGGAACTGCCCCAACAGGTTGAGACAACGGGCATGCGACGATGATCCAAGCGGCGTGGTGATGGAACGCCATATGTAACCCCCCCCCCCCCCCCCCAAACAAGACCTATATAAAAGCCTTAACACATGCAGATTAAGCGACAAAACTAGCACAGCGGAAGATAAAAACGAAACTGGATAAAATGAAATCCAACGGGGTGTCACGCCACGTCTACCAAACACGGTAAACGCTACGGCAAACAATCTGCAACTGTGTACGTCTATCCCAAAACATCAATCTAACTACATCGACGCACAGGCCACAAAAGCAAGGATAAAGGTGCTAAGCTACCAGGCTCTAGACATCGCGCTCGTCTAAACATCACCTAAAAGATACAAAGATAAACATGGGACGACGCCCGGTCAGCGAATAATGCTGGTAACCCACCAATACCGTTAAGTATCATAAATAGATAGATATAAGATGTAAAAACCATTTTCGAAACGGAATACATATATATAAATCAAAACCAAGATCAATTGTCTACACAAGACTCATCACTCTCAAGGATAACACAGGAACACATCCCAAACCACAAGGGTTAACCACACGCAAGGATAAAAACTCACCCAACGGCAACACATGCCAAAACCCCACAAACCTCCGTGACTTCACACGTCACGAGAGAAGATCACACAACGCCGGCTTTACAAGCCCTCGCAACATCACCCATCACGAGTTGGTATGCCTTCCTTATGCCCTGTTCCAACCTTATGGCTACCCCCAACCTTGTACCTTCTTTTCCAACCATTACCTCCAGGACCCCTGTACTTCTTAGTCCAACCTTATTCCTCCGGGACCGTCGTCCCCCACCAACAACCACCAACGAACACCACCAATCACGGCAACACATGCCGGGATAACTCATGTTATCCCCCAATAAACGTAGACCCATCACTCAGGCCACAACTCCATAATCACGTCACGGCCACCACGAGGACCGCTGCAATACCTTGGTGACTAGTGTCCCATACCACTAATCGTGCAATCCAGGTAGAGCCACACATGCACCACCACTCACACGAGAGTCAAACAACGGATTACAACAAAGGTATGAAACATACTCAATCAAGGAACAGGTCACAGCCCAACGACAACAACGATGAATAACACAAGTTATCATCAACCAAGCGGAAGGTACAAACAACACACACGCTAGAATTAAGACAACAAACTAGCATGCTTATCAATGGGGAAACTCAAGATAGTTCCGAGGAACACACAACACAACAAAATGACTTGAACCATGGAAAATGCCAAGCAATGGCACAAAGGAACCCTAAACACAAGCTCTAGATATGCAATATCACAAGACAAATGCATAAACCCTCACATTTCATAGCAAAACACAAGTAGAATCCAAGAAATCACATATAGGTAAGCAAAATAGGTTTTGTAGAGCATGGGTTACCTCTTGTAGACCAAAAGACTTCACTTTACACCACAACAAGCTCTCCACATGGCTTACTTTCCAAACCCACTTCAAGAATAAACCAAAAGATCATAAAGATCCTACCTTTAAGAAAAAGACAACTAAGATGGAACCAAAAACACAAGATAAACTTAGATCTTACCCTCCTAGATGCCCAAATAGGTGATAGGTTGAATCTTGGAAGCAAAACTTGAAATCTTGACAAGGGTCTCAACTTGGCTTGGAGAATAAGCTACACTTCTTTTCTAGAGAGAAGGTAGAGATATTTTCTAAGAATTGTAAGGGATGAAATGAAGAAGTCTTCTAGGTTTAGGTTTCAATACTAACTCTTGGTGAAAAGACAAGAATACCCTTACTAACCCTTAGAAAGTGTAAGGAACAAGGGAACTCCCCTCAAAGCACAAGGTACAACAAAACTAAAAGGTTGACTAGTCAAATTCTAGTCCTTGACTATTAAAAATCAGGATTTTAGGAATTAATTCCTCAAATAAAATAGGATTAATTACTCAATTAATGCATGGATTGAATGTGGATTTTTGGGGTGTCACATCCTCTCCCCCTTCAAAGAAGCTTCGTCCCCGAAGCTTGGGTACGACGAATTAAAAGCAAACGGTGAAAGGAAACGACATTGTGACAAGAAGTTCAAGAATAACTCTTTTGGTAAAAAACTCCAAAAGAACTCACAAGGATTCCGAAGCAAAGAAGTATTCCAAAGCAAAGAAAGAAGGCATTTCAAATTCAAGGGT